TTCTTTTGAGACAGGGTCTCTCTGTAGTTCCAGCTTGCCTGGAACTCACTATGTAGACCAGGCTGGCCTTGAACTCACAGAGATCCTCCTACTTCTGCCTCCCAAGTTCTGGGACTAAAGGTGTATGTCACCATACCCAGCCTGAATAAAATATTTTTTAAAAAAGATGAAGGGTGCAAAGGCCATGAGAGTTCTGGACTATATAAGTCTTAAAGAAAGATTATGTAGCCAAGGCATACAAGAACATTCTGTCACAAAAAGACCAAAAAAAAAAAAAATCTCCAATTCATTCTAAAATATATTGTTTCTTACAGAAAGACTCATTGTTGTTCCTACTAACACTGAGATATTGGCACGTGTGTCTCTAATCTGTATGTATCTAATTATTACTAGTCATAATTGTTTGCACTCGGATCCTTGGCACCTGTGTATGTCTATAAAGTCATCGGGTAGATTTCAGTGGTAATGTTCATCACCTCTACTAATTAACATGACATAAACTTTTATGCTTCCTCCTCAAATATAATACATTTTTTTAATTTGTTGATTATTTTCTGTGTGTGTTTATCACACAGACATCGCAAACCATCTTATTCAACTTTACACCCACTTCCCAAACGGCACCCTCCCATAGCCTCCCTCCCCCCACTAGAGCCCTTATACTCTGTTATCCCTGCTACTGTCCACTGTGTTGTCAGCACCCCCAGCCGTTCCTCACTACTTGTCCTCAAAGTATGTCTGTTAAACATCCAAGAAGGTTAGTTCCACCAATATGGTACTTTTAATTAGTGTGTGCCATGTAGATAAGTCTTGGGCAAAGACCAGTTGTTCTCAGGTAAACCTTACCTAGACATATATTTCTTGATCTGGTATGCATAATTTGTCAGTAGGTTGTTGGACTAATATGGTTCCCTCTGGTTTTTAAAAACTAGCTAGGACTATATTATCTCTTGCGTTGTCTAACCCTTCCATCACGGTTTCCCCAATTAAGGTGCCCCCATTTTCCTCCTGTCTTCCTTAATAATACCCTTCTCCTATGGTCCTACCTCTCTTGAGTGCCTTCTTTCCCTTTATCCGCTAGGTTCCTATGTACATAATAGTTTTATATTCCATCTTGGTGTTTGCATATTTTCAGAAACAACTTGTTTATTGCCAAGTTCTTGTTGATTCTAGTTTAACATCTGGGTAAATTATAATTTACAAAATCTCTAACTAGAGAGAAGATAAGCTCCACAAAACCAATGATCCTTGTGAACAAGTAACCAACTTCAGCTTTGTTTTCAGTATTTTCAGGTTATTTCCCACATCCTCTGAAAGAGCAGTTAGTGCTCTTAACAGATGAGACATCTCTACCTGATACCTTTTTTAAAATATTAGTTACTTAGCCTGTCTGAAAAAAAAATTGTAGTGAAGAATTATTTTTTTCCAATTTTAGAGAACTGTTATGTTCAGTTTACTGTTTCTTAAAGAAAAAATGAAAAAAAAGTAGCATTCTCTTGACTCTCCCTGAGGATGCTTATTTGGGAGGGGGGTTCCCCCCGTTAAAAAGTAGCATTCTCTTGACTCTCCCTGAGGATGCTTATTTGGGAGGGGGGGTTCCCCCCGTTCTTTCCTTCCTTCCTTCCTTTCCTTCCTTCCTTCCTTCCTTCCTTCCTTCCTTCCTTCCTTCCATCCATCCATCTCTGTTTAGATAGTAGCTTTCCTAATACCCCACAATCAGGAGAATCAGTACCACCCAGGAACACGTTTGACATAAGAGTCAGCCCTGTAGATAATTCAGTGTTGAAATTTAAGAAGGATGGATCTAGAACTTCTTTCTAAAAAAAAAAAAAATTATTCATTTTTATTTTATATATGAGTGCCTACATAAATGTTTGTTTACCAGGTGTATATCTGGTGCCTTTGGTGAACGGAAGAGTGAGCAGATCCTCTGAGCCTGGAGTTACAAGTGGCTCTGATCTGCCATGTGGGTGCTGGGAACCAAACCTAGGCCCTTTCCTAGAGCAGGAAGTGATTTTAACTGCTGAGCCATCTGTCCAGCCCTAGGACACGGAATTCTTCAAAACTTAAAATCTTCTCATAGCTCCCTTCTTGTAGGAAAACAGTAGTTTAGTCTTAAACGAATTTTCATCATTTTAAGAAATTTAAAAGAGAAGGTGATTAAAAGAGGGTATCACTGTGTAACATAGGCTGACCTGCCCTGATAAAATTTTGTCTATTACGTTTTACATATAATATTTTCTGCAATGTGGATTAGTATTTTTAAAAAAAGTGTTAGGTTGATCAACCAGATGTGGTACCAGAAAACCGAGAAGAGTAAGATCTTATATAGGCCTCACGATAATAAAAGTCATCACACATTTGGTCAGGAGAAAATGCAGGTTCACATAAGATTTGGCAACTTGACAGGCATCAGCTTTGTCATAGTCCTTGGTATGTCCTCTGAAGGCTAACAACCATGGAAATCCTCTCTGCAGATTCTCATTTAGCAAACCCCCTAATCCTGTGAGCCAGTTACTTACTACCTCTGCATCATCTATCCTCAGTTCTGTTATTAAGGAGATACTTAACCTTCCTAATATATATAAAAATTGGAACCTTTTAACCCAGCAGCAAATCAGTCTTACCATATGGATCCTAATACCGTACTAAAAATTGGGCAAATTTTAGAATAACATAAATTCACAAAGAAATCAAATAAATTTGTGTACTAATTCAAAGATGACCAAATGCTACCACGGGTGATTTAATATGTCTTACATTATTAGTTTATTATTTAGGGTAAAGATATTACCATTCTGATATAGACAAAATAAAAATTACCACTTCCAGGACAAGCTCCTGTTGATACTCCACCCAAAGTCTGGATGGCAGGAGGTCAGGCAGGCCCCTGACTGGTGCCAGTGCAGCACTGGTCTGTCACATGCCTCCAGTGCACCAAGAGCTGGGCCCTGGCTAGCGACTAGGCCTGTTGAGGGCACAGACCAGGCAGGCATGAAGTCAGGAGACACCCTGGGCCCTGAGGTCACCTCACTGCCTCTAGAAAAGTTGGCAGGAGGTAGGCTGGTGCCTATACGGAGCGGGTCTGTCTGTGCCTCACCTGGACAAGGAGAAACCAATGTTGAGCAGTGGATGGTGGAACCTGAGGTGAGGGCTGGTATGGAGAAGGTCTGGTCTGCCGGACCAAGGGGCGATCTGGGGCACTTCCAGCTGGCCTGCTCACGACAAGTCCGTGAGTCCTGCTGCTCAACGGTCCCTGTGGCCTGGCGGCACCCGCAGAAATGCGATCTGGATTAAAGTCCAGTCCATGGGCCCTGACTCAGGGGCTCCGACACCCCAGGCCTGAACTGGTCACTGGCCCTGGGGAGCATGGTGCGGCAACTGGGCGGGATCCAGTCCTGGCTTCTGAAGGCTGGCAACCGTCCCCAGGCCCGCCTGAAGACCTGGGTGCGGCCCACACATGGTGGAGACTCCGCAGGACCCTGGCTTGTCGGGGCTGGGCTGGGAAGCAAGCGGGCCAAAGTCCCTTTGGAACTGCGGGTCTGGGAGGGGTCTACCCGCCTGGCCCAACCAAGCACTCCGTCTCGGAGACAGATTCCTGTGTCCAAGGCAGCTCTTGGTCGGTGACGATGAGCCTTGGTCCGTTGGGACCACGGGGCGGGGCGATCCAGGGAGCTTCCAGCTGTCCTGCACGCGGCCAGTTCAGCGCCTGGAGAGGAGACCTGAGCTGTGGCTGTAGAGCCTGGTGGGGCCCACACAACCTGAGAGTTCAGAAGCTAGATCCAGGCAGGCTGTGCGCGGCCCTGAGAGTGGCTGGGCCGCGTTGTCAGCTGGGCTCCGGGGCCCTGAAGAGGTGGCCTGGGCTCCCACGCATGGCTCCAGGGGGGCTGGTCTGTCCTGTGCCTTGCGTAGACCGGAGCGTCCGAGGTTGGAGTCAGAGGTGAGGTCCGGTCTGAAGGATGTCCGGCTGTCCCTCCCCCCACCTGGGCGTGGTCGAGTTGTGCCCTCCGCGTCCTAGGGGGCGGGGCCAGGCGGCCAGGGCTGCTGGCTTCAGTGGTGCTTAGTGGACTCTTGGCCTCTGCCACCGGAGGCCAGGGTGTGTCCTGTTGCGGCCGGGTGCCCACAGCTAGAGACTGGGGCTGGGCGGAAAACTGCTCTCCCGTAAGAGGGCTGGATGTCCAGGGCGGGAGGCTCTCAAAACCCGCCCAGAAGGGTCCTTGGGGCCCAGCAGGCGGCCTGCTTGGGCCCAACAGTCAGTCAAGTCTTCGGGGGCCGTAAGTCCTGTTGCTGAACGGCCCATGTGGCTTGGCCGCACCCATGGGGATACGACCTGGATTGAAGTCCATTCCGTGGGCCCTGACTTGGGACTCCAACAACCCAGGCCTGAACTGGTCACTGAACCTGGGGAGCATGGCGCCGCGACTATGCGGGATCCAGTCCTGGCTCCTGATGGCTGGCAACGGTGCCCGGGCCCTCCTGAAGGCCAGGATCAGCCCACATACCCAGGAAACTCTGCAGGACATGTGCTTGTGGGCCAAAGTCCATTTCCGGATTCGGCATCTTGCTGGCATCGCCGCCCACCGGGGTCATGGAGGGATCCCCTGCTGGGTGCCTGACTGCAGGAGTGGGAATGGCAGGCTCTCTGGCTCTCTGTGTTGGAATGGAACATCTGGAGTCTTCCTGCCTGGCCTGACTGGCCACTCCCTTTTAATGGATCCTGGCACCCGTTCTTGGTTGGTGACAGCCTGCCGACTAGCCACAGTACCAGGGGGCGACCCCGGGAGCCTCCACCTTTCCTCTGTGTGGCCACACACTCTGGATGTGGAACTGTGCAGGGCCTAGTGCACAGGCCTGTGGAGGGTCCACTCTGGGCCATCTAGAAGTCAGGGGAGGCCTGGCTCAGACAGTGTGGGGCCCACCCTCCTAGAATGGGGTATTTTGGCTCAGGGCTGTCTATCAGCCTTTCAGGAGGTGCGGGTTCTCTTTTAGGAGGGCCCCTGGCCCCCAAGGTCTGCTCCAACAGCCTGGACCGCTGGGTTGTTGCTGGTCTGTTGCTTGGTCCTGGTCTGTCCTGTGTCTTTAGTTGCCCTGGAATGCCTTATCAATCCATCCTGAGGTGAGGCCTGGTCCCTGAGGAGGCTGGGCTGTGGATCTTCCACCATGGACATTGTGAAGATGGGCTACATGGATTTAACTGTAAAACAGGAAGGAGAGGGAGAAAGTTGGAATAGTGTTTTCTGTTAAACTGACTCTTTTTCCTACGCAGGGTAGAGCTTGGGAAAGAAAGAAGAAAAATAAAATGAATTCTGCTACAGAGAAATATGATTCCTGTGGAGGCCTCCAGACAGTAGGACTGTAAACTTTCCTACCTGCCCTGGACAGCTTCCATGACAGAATGCCACAGCAGTTTGGGTTAAGAACAGAGCTTCATGCTGGACTAGGATGATTCCTGCCTTTAATCCCTGCTCTCAGAAGCAGAGGCAGGATTATCACTATGGGACTGAGGCCAGCCTGGTCAATTTCCAGCCCTTCTGGTGCTAGGGAGTGATACTGTATCAAAGAACCAACCAAAACTAAACCAATCTAAACAAATAAGAAATCATCATCCTCCCCACTTGGGAAGCTGGAGTTCCATAGCAGGTGCATGCACTCTAGGCAGGTTCCACCCAGGCCTTCTCCCTGACAGGTAGAGGGTGTCCTTTCCCTATTTCCTGCATAGCCAGGTCTTGTTCAGGTGTCACTCTGATCTCAGCCATTTCTGCTGGTTTATGTGATGACACTGTCTTAGTTTGTTTCTTCGTTGCTGTAACAAAACACTCTGACCACTACCAACTTGGGGAGGAAAAGGTTTATCTATCTTACATCTCCCAGGTAACAGTTCATCAGGGAGCCCAAGGTAGGAACTCAGGGCAGGAACCTGGAGGCAGGAGCTGAAGCACAGGCCATGGGAGGAACGCTGCTTACTGGCTTACTCCTCTGGCCCCTGCTCAGCCTGCTTTCTTACACAACACAGGCCCACCTGCCAAGGGGTGGCACCACCCACAGTGGGCTGGGCCCTCCCACATCACTCAGCAGTCGAGAAGACACCCCCACAGGCATGGCCACAGGCCAGTCCAATGAAGGCAATTCCCCAATTGAGGCTCCCTCAAACCAGGTATGTCAAGTTGATACTAAAACTATCTAGTACAGATACCCATCCTGTTAAAGACAACTCAGGACCTCATTGGCCTCATTCACACTTCAAGTTCCTACCTCCAAGTAGGACCCTTAGTGATCAATCAAGCCTTTAGTCCAGAGTTTGGGGTACAGTTCCATCCACAACACAGTCTGCCCACCTGATGATGCTTCAATCCCAGGCCACCACAGTAGACAGACTGTTGCTCTCTGATGTAAACCACTTCTATTACCTTGACAACGGTTCTATTGTGAGATCACAGAGCCATGACCTCACTTCAGGACAGGTCCCTCAAAGGGTCTCCAGGCATTCAAGCAACCTCCAAGCTTGACATCTTTGCTTCCAGCTATTCTGACACGTGTGTGTGCTCGGAGACACTTTGAAGGGGGTTGCCTGGAGGTGTGTCTCAGAACTGCTTCCCTGGGAACCTCTTCACATCAGTCCTGTTTCAGCTACAGACACCTTCAGCCCTGGCAGTGTGAGAGCAGGTGGAGATGCTACTTCCTCGGCCTAAATGCCCAAGGCTCAAGTGCTGCATGGCCATTTCATCTGCTCACTTCCCCATCAGTTCTCTGGTCATTCTACCATCTACTGCCCCTAGGATCTATGTACAAGCGTGATTGGTGATTGATATCTTTGTGTTCTAGACTATGTCCTCATCACCATTAATAACTGCAAGATTGATTAGGAAGTTGGCTCCAACTTCCTATGCAGTTGCCTAGCATATCAGAGTCCCAGTTTGAGTGGCAGTACCACAAAGAGATAGCTAGATAGGTCAATGGAGTTTGAATGCAAGCAAAAACTACTGTGACACTTTTCAAGGAGATCCCATCAAGTTAAGTTCATATGCCCACGCATGAGAGCATCAGATCTTCTAGGTCATTGGCTTGCCCTCCCTGCCAATGACTAAATGAAAGGAGGAAGGCATGCCAGCTCTGTCCCATACTGTGCGGAGCTCACAGATCCCAAGCAGTTGGAAGAGTATGCGTGTCGTTAGGTGCTTTCATTAGCATTAGCCTGTGTCCCGACTACTTCACAGAAAACTCAGGTAGAGCATGACAGATAGTGACAACTGACATAAGTCTCTAGACTCTCTAAGCACTCTCTCACATGTGAATCAATCTCCACTTACCAGCACAGACACAAACACACACACGCACACACTCAGCACCTACACAGAATAATACATAAAAATACAAATAGAAACATAAAACAGGAGGGCTAGCAAGAGGGATAGAAATGTGTTCCTTCTGTTGATCATTGTGGCTGTGCTGAGGCATGGCCCTGAACACTAGTGAAAAATGGTGCTTCCAAGAAGCAGGATCCCTAGGGACATTCACACAGCAAGACCCAATGAGACTTTTCCAACCTCGAAAAGTCTGTAGGCTAGAGTTCTACACCAGGTACAGGGCTGCAACTTTCCTCCGAGACCAGGTTCTATATAGGCATCTTTCTGGTCTCTGTCTTTTCAACCTCATCTATGGGAGTGAACTGAGGAGGTTAGTAGACCCATAACCCCAATTCCCTCAAGTGTCCTTCAAAGAAATCTCCCTTTTCTGTCATGGCAGGCTCCTCCTTACAACTTTCTTTCACATTTGGTAACTGTTCTTTCTCTCTTTGTGAGCCTACAAGGTCCACCCTTGGATCACTGCTGTGACATTCTCACGAGGTGCTCATATCTTTGTAACTTTACTGATTTTTGTCTGTACAGTCCCTGTTCCTCCTCAGTTTGATCCTTCTCAACCTTCAACAATGTTTGTAAGTTCCTACTTTTCCAACCTATGTTGGGACACTGCTTCAGAGCTGCATGAACCTGTGACTTGCCTTTCTAAGATTCCCCAAAACTACCTTTACTTCTGTAGTTTCTAGGTTTGAGGACCAGTAGAATTTTCAGTTAGCCATACAGGATCACAAACATTAAGCACACACCCCGTTTCTATTGTGCTCTTCCTCCAGTTCCATCAGCTATGAAAGGAGAAAGCATCACATCAGACCTTGGAAAAATGTCA